TAAAAGTCGATCAAAAATTTTTTAAGTCAAACACATTACAAATATTTTTGTTGGCTTTATCTCTGGTTGTAAGAAGAGTTTGATTTATTGATTTTCTCACGAAATTACTCAATATTTTAATAATAAGAAAGAAAACATATGCACACCCCCTGTAACGCTTTTGAATAAATTATAGTTGTACTTTGTGTAACTATTATACTACGAGGTAATAATATTGGCGAAGATATTCTTTCGCGGAAATAGTAAGAGCCTCAACGCAGAAATGAACTCTCATTATGCAACTATAAAAACTTGAGTTAACAATGGAAATAACAATTATTGATTGAATACTTTTTCGGGAATGTGATATTTTTTTATTGGAATGTAAATAAGAAAGAAAGGAAATGCAATAAATGCATTAATCTTCATGATACCTGAGGATCCTGGTAACAGTACGTGTTAAAGGAAAACTCTCATTAAATTTGCATGTATTATTCCAATCATCAACGTTTAAGGATAATATCATTGCACCTCCGAAATTGTTTGCACGAATCCATTCAGCCTGAAACGTATGAAGCAAACAATTTTTATTAACAATATCTCCCTTACACGTTGAAACAGGAAACGTTACCTTGTGACGAATGCTTGTAACATCGTCGTAAGAGATCCATTCTCTGTCTTTGTAAGCAAACGGAACTTTGCTTTCTTCGTCGAAAACGTTCTTCGCTTCGTTTTGCAGGAACTCGCAGACTGTAAAATAAGGAACGAAACCCATGCTTCCTAAATTGCCAAATCCGTTCGCTGGCGCGTACAAGTCGTGATTTATCGGGTTGTCCAATTTGTACGAGTGGCCATAAGTCGGAATGCCGATGATTAGCTTTTCCTTTGGCATACCCTTTAACAGCCAATAGTGAGCCGAGAAATTAACGTTCAGGGTAGACAGGTAGCCAGATTCCGTTGCGTGTGGATAAAGCGGCGCGTTGAGTCCAGTAATCGGATAATACCAAACGTAAAAGTGATAGTCGTACGACATCAAGTTCACGAAATCCACGTACCTAAACAAAAATAATTTCGTACTTTATTGCTGTATGCTTTACATAAATATTCAACAAAATTGAGAGCCGATTGTTACTTTGCCATTTCCGCGACCATGTAGCTTTGATCGATGATAGCTTGTGGAGCGGCTACCGCGACAGAGAGAATCAATTTTTCTTTGGCGCGGTAAAGTTCCCTTCGCAATTCCTCTAATAATTGTACAAAACGAATTTTCTCACGTTCATCGGCTCCGATCCACGCAGGGAATTCCCAGTCTAAATCTAATCCATCGAAGCCGAATGTCTTTGTTACGTTTAATACCGACTTTATAAATCTATAAAACATGTATCGGTATTTCAATTGTATTTTACATACGAATTAGTGAAAGTGCAAAGGCAGAGAAGTTACCGTTTCCTGTTAAAATGGTTTTTGATCATTTCTGAGAAACCTGAGTGGAGCTCGTTACTACCGCCGGCACTGATCATGACCCTCAATTCAGGTTGCGATTTTTTCAAGGCGACTACTTGTTGGTAGATGGTAGAACTGCTGTCCAAGTCGAGGCTGCAGTTCACCACGCTCGCAAAACCCACGATAATATGCGTACAAAGATCAGGGTCAATGTGCGACGGACGGAGCTCCCAGAGCGTGTTCAGGTCGCTCTGTATGGTGTAATAACAGACAATGATCTGCCTATTAAAAGAGAACAAAGGAGTTTAACATAATCTTCGTCGCGATTCGTCAACCGTTCCTCTTACCCTGAGAAATTTGTGTAGAAGTGTTGTGGCGAACTGATACTGTTGTTCCTGTCCGCATTCTGGTTCTCCTTCGTCGACTCGGCGTACATCCGAGCCCGACGTAACCACGTAGCAATCTTGGCATTGTCTATCACCGTCTCCGGATCAACCGTTTCAGCTCTCGGCGAGCGAAGGATAACGATCCCCAACCAAGCACGTGTTACAAAAAGAATTCCAAGTACCAATGACACTAGCACCAAGCACAGAACTTGTGTTTTCCAACGAGGTCTAAAAAAAGTATCAAGATTTATAGAATTTTATTAAAACTTAAATGCTATTTTCATTCAATTATCTTCGATCGGAATATACTTATAAAGACGAAAATCAATTAACCGTGATATAGAAAAAAGTTTTGTAAGATTGAAACTTGGCAAGTTTTAATTTATTGCACATGCACTTATGCTCAGTGGTTTAATCCACGTAGGTAGGTATACCATAGTAAATATAGAATAATCAATAGCCACACCTGTAACTTTTGACATACACTTATGTGCTCACACATATGATACAGTACACAAAGGGGAAAATGCAAAAGTGGATATGTTAAGAAACTGTACTATTTTACTAATTAATTATTAATATATCAAACGGTATACATACAGTTTCTGTAAGAATACTGACAAGGTATTTGGGCAAAACATATTTCAAAACAGCTTTAAGCAAAAGGTGAACAATCTTATAAGCATGAAGATAAAGAAATAATCACAGATTATTTTAGAGATAAATTGTTCTGGAATTTTACTCATATATCATAATACGGTAGTATTATTAAATAAACAATATCAAATGTTTGCTATAAAAATGGCACAGTAAAACAAGCATAGTAATGTTCACTATAATACCGTAAAAATATCATTATTCTTACGTTGAATTTGATTAACTTCCTGTGTTAAGGATATAATTATAAAAGATTATAAATGACGATAGATATGATTGTTGTAGAAAAATAGGAAGAAGTTTCCACGCAGGATAATTTCTTTGAATCGTTCGAAGAAAAAGAAACTGTAGTCTAACAACAAATACTTGTTATAAATAGATGATGCCAGCTAGTGTATTGTTGAGCTAATAGAAATGAAGACGTATAGATTGCGTTACAGGCGGTTTAACGAACAATTGTGTAATTAAAAGAAGATGCAACTCACTGTCGAACGTCAGTTAATAATTCATACTTGGCCTGGGGCACGGGGATTTGGTTAACCATTGAACGTAACCGATGTTCGTTAAGATCGACGCTTGAGGACGCTGGTCCTCGAAGAGGGTGGCTTTCGTTTACCACTTTTATTATTACTACGCCCAGCGTGATCCGATATGATACATCGGCATATAATATATACGTATGTACACCTAATACATTGATATGTATAACCCAGATATGGGAACCGAAAGGGGTAGGGTAGGGTTTTACTTGCGCATTACCAGCTCGTGTTTGTTCAGAGAGCAAGCGGGAGACTTTGAAACAATTTGAAATTCGATATTAAATATCAGTTGGCTATAAATACGTAAGGAAAAATAAAAACACAATCGTTATAGTATGCTTGCGAGATAAATATTTTTTTACATATATTTTTTGGGATAAATGCATTCATTTCAATCGCCGTAAATGTAATTCCAGATAAGTACAAGATCAATAGTATACATGTATTTATATAAATATGCTAAAACAATTATAAGATCATGTAGTCCGAGTATACTTTACATATAAGAATTAGAATCAACAATTTTATGAGACACACGTATTGTGTAATATAGTTAAGTGACATAGAGAATTATAGGATGATTCAGTAAAAGTCTTAAGTATATGTTAAGATCTGGAATGGTTTGAACGTTATTAAAACTTTACGCAATGTACAAACGAATGGTGCTTACATATTTGAAAGACAAATTAATTTTGTATATGTCGCGGTAAGTATTCATTGAGGCCTGCCGCTAACTAGCGATTCGTCTTCTGGTTTAGGTAAACGTTTGTAGCGTTCCTGGGCCACCAAGTACACCGCTAAACCTCCAAAGATGATCAAGAAGAGTCCGATGACATTGATTAATACCGCTTCGTCTACAAGCTTCGAATAATCGGCCCTGGAATTACATGAATTGTTAAATTTAGGCGAGGTAAATGTACGACGTATATGTTATAGCATAGAGTTCTTCAAGTACCCTAGCGTGAAAATTGCTTTTTCATTGAGCCCTAGAAGACAAGAAGCGATTACGCCAACGAACCCAGCTACGCCAAAATACACATGTATAGGTAAATAAGAGGAACGTAACGGTGCTCGAAATCCTGGGTAAAGAAACGACAGAAATCCAGCCAGCCACTAAATCAAGACGAGTAAAATATTACTACAAGATTTAGTGAACTGATCATCGTATAAGTATACATATGGAGGAGTGATAAGTGAATGGGTGCTTATACCTGGCAGCAAAATAAAATTACACTAGTAAGCCCGACCCAACTATGAAGACTGTACATGTTCGGAATCGGTGGTGAACTTAAGTTGTGACTATCGAACACAGCTACAAGAGCAATTATAACGCATATGATAATGGCAAACATCAGGGCAGCATGAGTTAGTTTCAGCCTTCGTTTTCGGGAATTCCTCTGTGTTCTGTATATTAACATAGCTAAAATAATCAAATAATTAATCCTATTTAAATTGGTAAGCAAACAAATTAATTCTATTCGAGGTATTAAATATACCATTGGCATATAGAAAGACGAATCCAAGAACCATTAACAGAGGATGCCAATTAAATTCTAATTTTGGATTCGATTTCCAAGCAAAACCACCTCTAAAAGTGGTGCACCAAACAAGGACTAGAATTACCAATACAACTCCAATCACTTCCATTAATATTGTAAGTGGTTTGAAACCCTCGAGGTTTATACGTGGCTCTCCAATTTGCTCCATGTCTGAAAATCATATTTTGATAATCATATTTTTAATACATGACATATGTTCGGCAAATAACTGGATATACCACAAAGTGTAAAGATGATATGCAATAAAAAGAATTTAAAATAAATCAATGACATACCTAAACATAACTGGTATTCATAAGCATAACTTGTAGACATAATTCAACATAAAAATCGAATTCTAAGCATCCTTCTTTGCATAATTTTACTTGGGTTTTTCCGCTTTCTATCTTTAAAGATAGCAGTCGACATTATTCTTTCCATTGTACAATAATATTGTAACCAATTCTGTGTATTTGTTCTTTTTCATTTTACTACATCTTTGAGTAACATGGTAGAAGGAAAAGTGAAAGGAAAGCTACAGCTAGTTTGCGCATTTATGCAAAGAATGTACTAGATTTTTATCCAACATGTCAATTCAATGAAATGCAAGCATACTTTTTCAACATATGGCTCTGTCTGTCAAATACCTTTCGTATTCATACAAATTTAGAAATAATCTAAAACATATATATAAAAACATCTACAAAAATAAAAGTATTACATAATGTCAAGGATATTATTAATCAATACACATTATGAAGTTGTTAACATTTTTCTGCATTTTTCAAACGATTCTCTTTTCTTTCTACATCGAACATGCTCATATATGAGATTTGACAAAATACGAATTTTATACTTCTTACTACACCTAACGCAATCATCGCATTAAGATGACATTGTAGATAACGTGTAAAAATAATACTTTCGTATATAAATGATGTTCAACAAGTGTGCTTCTTCGTGACTAATGTAATGACGTATTGTACAACGAACATTTCTTAAGATGTGCTTAATACTAATTAACTGATATAAGAAAGAGCCAAAAGATATGAAAAATGTAAATGAGAGAAAAGATTTTAAAGTATTCATGACGTATGAGGTCGGTCACGTTACCTGCGGTGGAGAGAAACGTTTTGAGGAAAAATCAACAGGTACTACGCAGGTTCTCCAACGATGTAGAGTGAACTATCGATTTTACACAGTTGTGGAATGTCATATTTAAACTTATCGCATTTCTAGTCAGTACAGCGACTAATTATAATTGACCGTTTCAATAAATCAACTTATACGTGTCTGATATAGCTCAATTACAAATAAGAGGGGTAAGGGAACGAACAGATTCGAAGCATACTTAATTACTTGTGTAACTTGCAAAGGAAGTATGATTATTCCAATAGACACAGGATTTTATAAAAGAGCGTGCACTTTTATATATACAATAACCAACGTTTTTTAAATAAGAATCATAATTCTTATTGGGAAAAGTATAAAAATGTGTATGGCACTTTTTGTCTTTTCTTGCCTTCTGCAAATTGCTGTGTATGTAGTAAACGTTGAACTTGATTGAACTTTATCTGCGGTAAATAGTTGTATGGTTGTATGCATGTATCAGCACTGTATGTATATATGAGAGAATAGTGAAGTCGAAGTGTAGGTAGTTAGAAGATAACCTTCAGCACTTGATAAATGTGAGGATTAAGTTATTTTTCATTTCATGGCTAATAGATAAATACATATATCGTCATTATTCAAGCACTCGAAAATGATTAAAAAAGGAAGGTTTTTAATGAACTTAACGAAAGACAAAAGAATCAGTTTCTTATTTAAAAAACATTTCTCCGAGACTGTCGCGGCTGACAAGAATGAGAAAACGACACATTTCGGGTACAAAACTGTTAAAGAAAGTGAAAAGGTGAAGGAAGGTACGATCTATAATTCGTGTCACTAATTATCCATTTGTTAACGATTGTATTGTATTTTTCGATAGTCTACACGGTTTTCGAAAATGTAGCGAATTCCTATGATCGAATGAACGATGCTATGAGTTTTGGGATTCATCGTCTTTGGAAAGATATTTTCATTCAGAGACTTGGACCGACTCATGGAAGTAAATTATTAGATTCAGCTGGTGGTACAGGAGATATCACGTTTAGGTATTTGAATTATTTGAAGAATACGCAGAATCACCAAGGATTGAAAAGCTCCGTAACAGTTTCTGACATAAATAAGAATATGTTGGAAGTTGGTAAAGTTAGAGCTGAGAAACTTGGATGGACAAATCTAGATAATGTTTCCATTGACTGGAAGCAATGTGATGCAGAACAGTTACCTTTCGAAAATGATTCATATACTGCTTATACGATAGCTTTTGGTATAAGAAATGTGACACATATTGATAAGGTGATTTAAATTCATACTGGGCATGTTCTCCCAAAGCAGAGTAAATTGATTTTTCATGGAGAACAAATATTTCATGTAGGTACTCTCTGAAGCGTACAGAGTACTTACACCAGGTGGACGTTTCATGTGTTTAGAGTTTAGTCATGTGGACAATAATGTTTTCAAATGGTAATTACGTAATCTAAAAATATAACACGTTTTATATAAAAAAATAATCATAGAATACAACTTATGTAGGTTCTATGATCAATATTCATTTCAAATAATACCTGTATTGGGTACGCTCATAGCCGGAGAGTGGCAAGCTTATCAATATCTTGTTGAAAGTATTAGGAAGTTCCCAAAACAAGAGGAATTTAAGGTATATAAGATGATACAGACATACCACTCGTGTACTCGTAATAGGAGTCTATTTAATTTTGATAATACTGTTTTAGGAGATGATAGAGGAAGCAGGTTTTAGGAATGTAACATATGAAAACATGACATGCGGAATAGTGGCTATTCATTCAGGTTTTAAACTCTAACGTTTATACTATCAGACATAATGAAACAAACAATAATTTATTTGATTGTATAAAAGAAAT